GTTAGTATCATGGAAAACGGGAAGAAGTGGAAAAAGGGAGGTGTTTATGGATTCATGGCGACAAAGACAAGGCGTGTACATGGTGTAGTTGAGTGGAAAACAAAAGTTGCATTGTTTAAAGCATCCAACACATGCACAACAAAGACCAAGGCGGGCACAAGGTTTAATTGAGTGGAAGACAAAAATTAAAGTGTTTCAAGGTATCCAACGTGCACATGGCAGAGGAAATTTCAACCATGATTATCTGGGGCTATAATTTCTTTTCACGCCCTTTATGCCTTTCTTTTTGGCACTATCTTCATCGTTTTTTCACTATCTTTAGGGATAGTTTAAGCTTGAAATACGTTGTAAGTGAACCCAACACAAGGAAAAAGCAATAAAGTACTAAAAGCAGAATCCTCATAGAGTGTATTTCTTATTATTTTTAAAGAAACTTACAATATAATTTTTATGGTTTACGAAATATAATCAGTTTGTCTCTGTTTTTAGAAAATAGACTAAAATTTTTATAGTTTATTTCCGTTATACTATAAAATTTATTTGGTTTGCGAAACATTAACTTTCAAATGATTTCATGTGAACCAAACGTGTTTTGAGAGTCATAATCACAAGGAATTTTTGGTGTCTTACATTAAGGTGCAGTTGCCGACACAGACTACGATTAGGTATATATAGAAATAGCAACAACTTTAATACAACGCGTCCAACAGTAAAAGCATTGAAGGTGGTATGCTGACACTGACACATACAAGAAATCCATGTAAGGTAGGAGACCTTTGTCAAATCCAGGTTGAACAGACGCAGGTAGAGGGAAATTCTATAGTGTAATTTACCCCGCTGAAACTTCAGTTTCATACTTGTTAAAATTTGCACACTAGGACAGAATTTAGTGAAAAGTGAATATATACGACCTGACAATAGATGCAGGTTGAAATCTTCCATTTCTTAATGCTAAATAAAAAAAAGTTAAATTTGATCTAATACATAGATTTAGTCTTATGCTTTATATAAAATTCTTACAATACCTACAATTTTTATTTTGTGCATCATCACAACAAACACGATAAAATTTATTTGTAAATAAAATAGAAGGAATTTGGCTGTTTACTTATCAATTTTCAACTTCTACTTCTTGCTTTAAAATTTGAATATTTGAATGAATCCAAAAATTAAAATTTTCAATTAAACAAAATATTGATGAAAAATTTATCTAAGTAACAAAAGTTGATTTGAGGAATATTAGGAAAAAAAAAAAAAAAACTGTTGTTATGAACTCCCATCTCATATTAACATGGCAGCCGACACAGGGAGTTTAGGGACATTAAAAAACAAAACAATAATATAAACAAAACTACAAAAGCTTAACCTTGCCCATCTTGCAACCGACACATTATACATCAATCCAGCATTAAAAATATCTTGTACCTTCAGTCTTTAGTTGATTTCTATTATTTATTTTAAAATACCATCATCTTTCATATATTATTGTAGACAAACAAAATTATAAAGCATAAATATTGATTTTTTTAATTCATTAAAAAACCGTATATATTAATATAATATTATAGATTATATAAGGAGGTGGTGCTTCATTTAATTCATCAAATTAACAAGCACCACCCACATAATTCACTGTATTTGTGTATATACAAACTAGAGCTAGTTTCTTATTATTATTATTATTATTTTGATAGAGAGAACTTGGAAAAGGACAGTTTGTGTTAGATGAAGAGCCTACAAGAACTATTCAATCGGATTTGTGTACAGATCAACCATTGGACCCTCAGATTTGTGTACAGATCAACCATTGGACCCAACACTTGATAGAATTATCAATTTATTTATGATATTGATAGGCTTATCACAAACCTCTCTTCATAGTTTCTTTCTATTCTTATGGCAGAGAATGATATTGAGTAGGGTCCATTTTTATTGGACATATCCTTTCAGACTTTGACAACGTACCCATATAGTTTGTGTTGTGGCCCAACGAAATGAGCTCACTTGGCATTTATGTATTTGCTTGGTTACATAAAACTGGGTCTAACCTAACTGGACTCTTTAAAAAATGGGATGGGAAAGTTAGCCCCAATGGGAAAAGAGAAGTGGCATCATAAAGTCCTAAGTATTTCCTCCTTTGGGCTTACTTTCTAATGCCCTACTGTTTTTCCCTTTTCCTTTTCTTTTCATGTTATATAGATATACGTAGTGCGAAGAGAAGTTTATATCTTTTAAGGTATCTTCAATGATCTTCTCTGGTAGTTTTAGCTGTTTTAATAACGTTTAGTTATTTGAGTAACTTTTTATAAAATACTATAAGTTAAACATTACATAAGCTAAAAGTTAATTTAAAGTTAGTTACACAAGTTAAAAACTAGTTTAAACGTTATGTTATCGAACACTATAAAAAAAAATAACGTTTAGGATTTTGACCATATCATTATCAAGATGCTGAAGAAGAATTGTTATTTACAAAAGAAAGACTAATTTGTTTTGAGAAAATTATTTATAGCTAGCGTGTGGTTTAGGCCATATAGATCGACCATGTGGTGTGCGTAGTTAATTAGTTGTAAATTATACCTGACCAAGGAACTGACAAGTTCCATCTCACAAGAAGATATTGTTTTATATTAATTCTACTTCTACCCATTGCATTGCCCTCTAGTGGTTAATTAACACCCAAAAACAGCAAGAGCTAGTTAAGTCACATTCTCTTCATACAGTTGAAGTTGCTGATCAGAATTAATGGCTGCACTTTCTGTAATGCTTATTCTGCTGATTTTTCTTAATCTTGGAGTTATCATTGGCGCTCAAGTAGATTCTAATTACAGTCGCCTTGTTTTTTCTAATTCTTGCAATGCTTCTTGCAATAATACCACTTTGGATTTCAAGAGAGGTATCCCAACCGGAGCCAATCCTCTCCATAACAGGTAGCCGCGTACCAGAGATACTCTGCAACAATTTTATAATACTGCCTTGTACTAGGTATTTTAGAATTAGATTTTGATATAAAAGTTTTCCCTTTGATTTCATTATTCAGCGTAATGTGTTCATTATACAGGTTGTGCTGTGTATTAATTCTTTTAGAGGCAGATTTTACTGTAATTCTAGTTGTTGTTCTGGCTTCGGTTTGCTTGAGGTTGAGGAAGAAGAAAAAATTTGGGATTCCTTTTGTTTGTTCTTATCGCAAAGTAAGTATAGTTTTTGGTTTTGTCTGACATGTAAGTGCATGAGTTGTCTGTTGGTTTGGCATTTTTAAAGATGGTTTTCTTGCAAACCTATCATAAGCTTGTCTTTATGTGTTCTATTTAGTGTATGGTCTAATCATGAAATCATAATGTGCTTTGTCACATTACATAAATATAATTCTTTTGGAGGCATTTTCCCCTTTCATTTGCATGTGACTTGCAAAATTATTATGGATTTTTAATGACAGTTCAAAAAAAAAAAAAAAAAAATTCTTTTGTAAGGCATTTTCCCTTTCATTTGCATGTTGACTTGCCAAAATTATTATGGTATTTTTATGACAGGTTTTCAGAAAAAAAAAAAACAAAAAAATCGTAGATTTCCATTTAGAAAAAAAAAAAAAAAAAAAAATCGTTAGAATTTCCATTAGAATTCATAAAAGAAATTGAAAATTATTATTAGATAGAGCCTATGTTGGAAACAAACAGCTGCAAATAATTTATTAGTTTTTAATTACAGGCGTGATGTGTTTAATTATATATGTTGAGCTTTTGAGATAAGGTTTTTAATAGTATATACGTGTAAATGTTGCATGAGAAAAAGAATAATGGTGGTCTTGTTTTTCATGCTGTGGATGATTCTATGCTTGTTTGCTTTACCGTTGGGCTTGTGTGAATGTTCCCTTTCTATGTCTCATTTTGCTTTGTATGTTCTATTTTTACCCCACGATTTTAAAAAATTAAGGTTATGAATTTAAAATGCGAATATGTAGTCTTATTAAAAAAATAAAAATAAGTAAGCCACAAAATACAATTACATACGTTAATTAAAGTCATTTATATGAAACGACACAGCTACATTTGCAGCTAGACATGCATTTCTTGCAGTCCGAAAGTGTTAACATACTACCAGTGCAATCACACTTCTTACTACATTTGAATCTTGTGGCGCCGCTCCACAAGCACCGCGCCATGCACCGCAGAATGGGCGTGCACGATGGGCACCCGTACTTCATCTGATGAGCAATGCAGTTTTCGCATCCACCGCCGTCCGCCAATGACTGTTGGCCGCAACCAACGGATGGAGAAATCATGGTTAACCACAAAATAATCAGAAGCATTGTTGATAGTGTATACAGTTTCTTCATCTTTTCCGTTTCTTGAAACTAAACGAAGTAGATTAGTCTCGTTGCTATATGCACTAAAGCTATATATAATATGGCACTTAAGCTATATATATAGTTATATATATATATATTATATATAAAACTTAATTTTGTGTTGGCTGTGGGAAATTTCTGTGTTGCCACGACTTAATTTCATTAATATGTCTCATTATATTATATCATAAAAGGTGCAATGTCTTGGTTTGACTAAATATTTCATTAATCTTCTAAATTTTTCTTCCCCCTACATTTCTTCTGCATAACATAATGATTATAAATGACATGTTCGTGGATTTCATCTAGAACAGTCAGTGGGGCCTATATGAATTGGTGGGGCTTGTTTAAAAAATGCGTTGGAAAATCCGGTTTGTGTCTGTGGGTTTCTAATTAAATTGTATATATATATAAAACTTAATTATGTGTTGGTGGGGAAATTTCTGGTGCACGACTTAAATTTCATTAAATGATCTCATTAATTATATCATAGAAAGGTGCAATGTCTTGGTTTGCTAAATATTCATATCTTCTAAATTCTTAGCATTTCTTCTGCATAACAAATGATATAAATGACATGTCGTTGGATTTCATCTAGAACAGGTCCAGTGGGCCTATATGAATGTGGGCTTGTTTAAAAAATGGGAAAATCCGTTTTGTGTTGTGGGTTTCCTAATTAAATTTGACGAAGGGCATGAATGAGTTTGAACTTCATTCTCTGTTTCTTGAACGAGTGTTGTGTCTTCAGTACCGATTCTACAAGTATATCATCAATCAAGCCGAAGGCCTAGCTGCTGTGACTTCTCGGAGACGAAAAGCTTGTACAATCGGAAGAGATGCCAAACCAAATGGTCCTGCACCAGCACTACTGCTCTAATTTGGTTTCTATATTATATATATAATCCACATTCGATGTTTACATCTAGTCTAATTGTATCTAAAGCAAGCCTACCAGCTGTTCGATTAAATTCCGAAACAATTCATTTCCGCAGCAAAAAGATACACTCATACCATTTCGCTTGCAGGAAAGTACTACTGTACAGAACAGTTGCAGAGATTTAGCAATTTCATCTTCATTTTACCGCTCCATATATTCAGAGGTACTTACTGCAATTATGCGTATATCACACGGCAATTGCTCTGAAACTCAACGAAAGGAATGTTTATGGCATGACAGTCGTAATGGTGGAACTGTAAACACTACCTCAATCATTTATGCGATAACATCTATTTCTGCGTTTAATGTTGACGACAAGTAGTCACCCTATGCATGATTGAGATTAGACGAGGTTCATTGTGCTTGTTTTCTTTCCAGATTGACCCAAAAATGCATCATTAATATATCAGAGCTTGAATTTTGACCATCATGACTTGCATTGTTGCTGATTCAAATGCTTATGTGATTCCTTGTGAACTGTGTCTGTGATAAAGCGGTAATTGGGTATATAGGCGTACAAAGACAAGACTACGGCATTTATACAATGTCTATGAATATACTTTCTGCCTGCTTTTTCTTGCCTTCTTGCGAATCTAATATTTAGTGATTTTCCTATCTTCGTTTGGCTTTCATGCAAGATATTGATCGAGTTGTTTTTCCCCCTATATTTCTATGCACCAACTTAGAAGGTTGAACTCACTGAAGTCGTAGGAGACAAGAAAGCAAGGGCGAAACTAGGATGATATGTGGGGGACAAATTGGTTCTTGTCTTAAACCTGGTGAAATGGATGAAAAAGATCTGTGTAGCTGACTGACTAAAATTAGAGCTTAGTGAACATGGTGTTATATTGGAACTGCTCGTGATTTATTTGCAACTATTTATTATTACTCCGAGTAGGACCTTCAAATTGTATTAGGTTGTTTTCAACACTATTCCAATATATGAATTTCATATAAGGTTTTGAGTTATAATATTATATCTTCATGCTGTCAATAATATTATATCTTCATGGTGTCTAAAAGACAAAGAAACCTTAGCTTCTTGATTAAGATTTACACTATAATTGCATCAAGCCTTTTGTTTGCACATAATTATATACCTTTCGAGGTTCTTGACTAGACAATGATCAATTATAATTTTACTTACAGATAGAAGAGGTTGGATGGGCGCATCTGGTGAATTTGGCTAGAGATCTTAAGTTTCTTAGCTTTCGTGTTATGTAAGATTTTTCTTCCTATTAGTCCAATTGTGAAAAAGGATAATCCAGGTTTTCTCTGTTTTATATGTTGAGTGGTCTTTATTATACTTGGGGTTTAGAGGCCCAAGAGCTTAGCATAGTGTTTGTTCCAGAATAAGTAGAGCAAGAGATGGTATCAAGAAACGCATCATTAATAATGTTTTCCTTGAAAGTTCTTTAAGTACCAAAATTACTAACCCTGCCAAGAAAATCTGTCTGGATTATTGAGCTCTAGCGTTTTCTTATGGAAGAAAAAAAGGCGAAACTGTTTACATGGTGCCTATAATCAAGCTCAGAACAGCATTTTTTCTCTTCCAGGAGCTTGTTAATGCCTGATTATTTTGTACCCTTACTCCTCCTTATTTCCAAACTAGCAAGGAAATTTAATATGAAACAGCTTGATACATTCTAAAATAACATGAATGTGATAGGACTTATTATACATTGGTGAAAGTTCGTTTTTTAGGCTTTGCTGACTGCATTTTCCTTTTCACCAGTGCCAGTATAATACTTTTTGCATTATACATTTCTTCACTATTATGCATCATATTCTTTTATGTTTTGTCTTTGAAATTTATTTGACTTATTTTATTCATCTAACCATTTGTATGCTTGAGTACCAGAGATAAGAAGGGACAAGTGCATATTTTGGAAGTTCAGTTGGATATAACCTATCCAAAGTGTCCTCCTTCAGTTTCTGCGGTCGGTACCCAATAATCTCTTTGGCTTTTACATTCTAGGGCTTCTATACTAAATGCTACTTTGACTTCTTCTAGGATGTACCTTTTATATTCAATGTAAAATGGTCAATGAACTCAAGACTGAAAGATTTGGTGCAGCAGTTCCATGCGGTATAATATTGCCATTGTTTCTGCTTGTTTCTTTGGCTTTTCAATTCTAAAAGCTTTAGGCTTCTAGTGATTTCTTGGGAAAGCTCTGCCTTATCGGTAGGTTTTGTTACACTGACAAATGAGACAAACTTGTTAATTGTGTGTAATATGTACCAGCATCTGGACAAGCTTCAGGAATTTTGGTCTACCTTGGATGATATTGATAATTCTCTTTGTGTTGTTAATCTGAAACAACCATCTCATGCCATGTCAGTTCGCCAGATTGATATAGGTAAAGTGGTTGTTAATACTGCAAGTATAGATTCATTTCTCTGTTTTATCTGTTGTTCTTAAACATCTCATTTCCCCTTCTTGTTTTGTTTTTTCACCTTTCACTTCTTCCAGGAAATGATTGTTCCATAATGTTGTTTATAAGTGCCAAAGATCCTAGATCTTTACCAGAGTATGTTGTTATCCTCTCACATAGTGCCACTGCTGAATCTGGCTTCTGGTTTTGATTCAGTAATTGAATTTTTAAGTTGTGCTAGGTGTCGCTTTTTGGGTCCAGATACAATTGTGAACAATTTGAGAAAGTTGTGGCAAAGAAATAGCAAGCAATGGTACAATCTTGAATCTCCTTTTGATTATGATTAGTATTTTAGACTCTGAAAGTTGCTATTTGAAGTTGTTTTGATATAAAAACCTGCGATGCTTTTTCAGAGAAGTTATTGCCAATTTCAGCGCAGGCATTGATCCTGCTACTAATTTTACCTATTATCATTGACCATAAAACTTATTTCTATATGAATTCTCGTCTATTGTTCTTTGAATTAGTGAAGGTTTCCTTCACTTTATGAAAATTTTTAAATTCATTGTTAGTTGTGTTAATCACTGAATATTATGCAGACACTTTGATTATTTTATAGGAAGAAGGACAGAACATTTCTAGAAAATCTTGCGTCTGTTCTGGAGACCCAACTGCCAAAGCCCCCAAATATCCACAAGAACGATCTGCAATTTGAATGCGGAATTTGTTATGCTGAGTGTCTACCAATTGGTAATGACAGACAGAATAAATGCCTGTCTTGTGTTCATAAATGTAATCTATTGATTTTAAAATTTGTGTGTAGATGATGAGTTTGGACCTAGGAGTGGGACTCGAACTGACTATATGTGTGATAATAGCAACTGCAACAGGGCTTACCATAGTGTTTGTCTCAGGGACTGGTTGCGCTCCATCACAACAACAAGACAGTATGTGCACTTTCTAGGATTTGTCCTTTATTTGGTTGATTGGTCCTGCATGTGTATAGCTTTAGTTGGTGTTTCCTGTATAAGTTCACTGTGCTGCATTTCTACCAATCTGCCAGTGGTAACACTTGTCTACCAAATGTTCAACCATGCTATCAACTCAGGTCACTCAATCCTTGAGTGTTGTCTCTTGCTTATTTGTGCCCTTTCTTTTCTTGCACAAGTTTGCACGTGCCTATGGGCGGACCCACTAATCAAGAGCCTTCACAAAGGATATACATTAAATGTGTTGAAAACAACATAATTTTGTTGCCGACACTGATGAAGAATGGCTGCCATCTGTGGTAGCCTCAATCAATCGCACATTTTTCATTTTTAAATTATCTTCTAAGGCTATTTGTTTTTTGTACATCTCAGAGGATTTCCGGGAAAGCTGAATTACCCCAACAACCTGTCTGAAAACCCTTCATTGCGTGTGCACTTTTCTTTAAACAAGCATCATGTGTGTCCAAAACTGTAATTAGATGTGATGTTTCCAAATCGCCTATCAGCTACTCAAGTAGAGAAAAACATGTTTGCCTTTTAATTTATTATTTTCTTAGGTACTTGGTCAATTGATTTATAGTTTCTATGCATTTTTATTTGCAGATCATTTGATGTCCTGTTTGGAAATTGTCCCTACTGTTCAGAGCCAGTAGCAGTTAAAATCAACAACACAAAGATGTAAGTCTAGGTCTTAAAAAGTACTGTAAATGAAGGTTCTTCAGGTAACGATTGACCATATTCAGCAATTCCTATGCAAGTTCATATAACCTAATCAAAGAATGGAAGAGTTTGGCTGAGTCAAGGTAGCATTAAGCAGAGTATCCGATGATGCAGCCGCATTTAATACCTGATATATGCATTTTTTACTGTTCATTAACTGTGACGTATTATCCAACAATGATATGCTGCTTTCAGTTCATAATTTTTTGTACCAACCTTATCTGTTGGCTCGTCAACTTGATTGCTCATTTTCATGCTTGATTGGAATCTGCCAAAGAGATGTAGTTCATCTCAAGTTATTGATCGGTTAATTTTTGTGTTGGAAGTGATCTTTCTATATTTTCTTGGATGTGTATGGTTTTTTCTTGCAGCATTTCATTGCAGCGACAGATATGCCAAATACAATCAGTTTAGCCTTGGTGGTTTTATTGCATTTGGCCATAGCTTCGAAGGATGGTCCCCTACTTGGAACAGCTGAGCTGAGTCTTCTTTTATGCATCTCATTTGATGCGGTTAGTGTTGCTTGAAATATTATATAACATTCACTTACAAATCTGCCTTTTATGTGCGGTATAAATGGAAATCTATTTACAATTTTAAACATTAAACATCTTTGTTCCACGGAATCGGCTTGGAAAATAGCATTTTCTAGTATGTAAGAAATAAAAACGCGAGGGAAGTAAGTGAAAAAAGAAAAATAAGAGCATTTATAAATGTAAAATTAAATCGGCACAATGATAATTCTAGAACTCATACTTGCAAGTAATGAGTCAGTTGTTTTGAGGCAGTGAGCGACTACCCTTGACTCGGGGACTATGTATAAAATATGCATATTCCAAGTGAAGTGGTACATCTTTTGCATTATAGGGACATTACCATATGAATCTTATTATTGGAGAAGGGGTTATCAGAGTAGGAATTGATTTCAATCCCGTAACAGTGAAAATATAAATTTGATTTTTAAAAAATACATTTAATTGGAGGAGTTAAAAATCTTACGATTTATGATTCGAAGGGATTAACATCCTAGATATAAAAAAAAAATGGTACGAATTACATAATTTACATCAGCAATTTAAAGCGAAAAATGGCAACCAATTCTCTTCTCTATTGGCTTATGTATTTGTACCATTCATCATGGACCATTTAATAGGCCAGTATTTATTTTCTATGGTCCAAATTTCAACGATAACAAGTACATCCTAAGATTTTTCTTTTACTTTATGCTTCATATTTGAAATTGAACACCAAATCTATTTTATTTTTATTATTCAGCACAGAATAATTCTGTGCACCATGTACAAATACTTCTGCTTACAATTGTGTACATATTGACTTTATCTTCTCTTCACTTTGAAAATCAATCAAACCCACAAGAGATATTTAACTAATTGAGTTTTTTTTTTTTTTGTTATTCCTCTTTATTCCCTCCCTAACTTGCATGGCTGGTAATATTATTTATTGTACTAGAACACGTGCGTGCGTGTAACATAAACATAAAATGAAACGTTAAGAGTATATGTAATTGTAATTGACATATCATTGTATATGTACCAAATTGCTTCATGGGTTGTGCTTATTTTTCTTTCCTGCTAGAAGTTTAGATTCCGGCACTGCACTCTGGTGGGGCGACTGGGTATCGAGACTTATCTGTACAGTAATCATAGATCATGTGGTTCATACGAACCCATCTGTATCTTCTAGCTTCCATGGCACTTAGGGCTTGATAATTAGCACCTTCCCACCAATTTCTTGGATTTGAGACACAGTTTGCTGGTCCAGGAACTGGACATCCTTCAATGTCGAAATCCTTATAGTATGCATAAAATGGAGCTTTACTCCAATCAATTTTTTCTAGTCCACCTCTTGTTGCCCAATCATCTGCTTCCCATAATGTTGAGTACACTCCCATAGCCTGGAACTTAGGGTATGGGATTCCTCTTGCTTCATTATTCTTGAAAACTCTTATAGGCACGTCATCTACATAGAAGCTGCAACCCCACCATAAGTAACATCAGAAAGATCATTACTTCCACATAAATAATTATCACAACTTGTAACTAATAATTAACAACCTTAATAATTATATATGAACTATTAATTAACTTACACGATATGGTGATGGTTCCAGAGAATAGTATAGAGATGGAAGTCTGAAGAAGGGTCAAACCACAAATTAATTCTTTGTTCTCTATCACCTTTTCCATGAGCATAAATATTTGTTTGGACAGTATATGGCTGTCCAGTTCTGTTCCCCAAGAATTCAAAGTCCAGTTCATCTCTTACACTGTCGGTGTCTGAGTTCATCTGAAAAAACCAATCAATTAAAGTTTAACACTCAATGCATAGATATATATATATATATACTTGCAACATTAAATTGTTAGTGAAATATAAAATTTCGAAGTAGTAAATAATAACGTACATAAAAGGCCGTGACTGTTCCGGCAGAGTCTCCGGGAACAAGCTTGATTCTCATGCTAACACGACCAAACAAGTACTTCATCTTAGAGGCAAACCCACATCCTATAATTAAAATGTCACAATTAAGATTTTTGTTTGATGAGCATAATCTAAAGAAGTAAAGAAGAGCAATAAAATTAATTATTTATTGAAACCTGAATTCTGGTCAAGGACGAGTTGGATAGCTCTCCCTCCATCAATTTGCCTGATATGGGAATCAGACCATGTCACTCTAAAGTCCTGAAGGAAAGCGGCAGGTCGAGCTGAGACAGGGTGAGAAGAAAATGCAAGAAAGATAATGAGCAAGAAGAGAGTAGGAATAATATTTCTGAAGAAAATAGCCATGTGGATATGACTATTTGTTTGTGTATTAAAAACAGTAAAGAAAATTTGTAAAGAAGGTTATGAGGTAATGTGTATATATAGGCAGAGGAATTAAGTTCAGTGATTGTGACTGAGCATTCAAATGGAAAGCAAACATTAGGGAGTTTGCTTTCAAGTCCAGCTAATGGCAAGCCGTCGTTAGGCCCTACTCAACCGCGAAGTTATATACACTTTCGTTTTGTTTTTCTTTTAATTAGAGTTTTATCAAAGTTTTTGAATCCGAAATTTCATAATCATAAAGATAATTAAAGTGTTATTATTGCTTCTCTTTCAATGCCCATGTCACTATTTTGTTCATCTATTTATTTTTATTCATCGGGTGCCCGAAGAACAAAAATAACGGATTACACAAAGGATTAATTAACTATTTCCTAACTCATCACATTGATAAACACATTTTTAATCTTCCATATCTCTCTTGAGAAAATTAATCAAATCATGACTAACTGACATTTGTTCATCTATTTCCTTTTTTACTATCTACATGACTTCTAGTTTTGCAAAATATAAAGTAGTTATCGCTTAATGATTGAGAATTGAGTTTTTGACTCGAGATTTGCCTTAGCCTTGGTAATTAATATGTTGCATGCATAAGAAAATGATTTATATGAATTTTCTTTTATGGAAGTTGGGTGATAGGCAGGGAAACCACTTTTCACAATCGCGATTAGATTTCAAATTCCTAACCTTACCGTAAAGTCTATTTATTAGTATTGTCTAAATAACTATTTATTAGTATTGTCTAAATAACTATGCACATTGTTTTTTTTTTTTCTTTTTCTATGCACACTGTTTAAGTGTTTCCTACGTTTTAATTTGTATGATTCATATATACATGAATAATCCTTCGTTTCATTTTTATCTGTCATCTAATAAAGTTTTTGTATGATGGTGATTAAGAAATAACTAAACTCATTTATTTTTTGACTAAATTATCTTTTACCTCACCTACGTGAGGAATATGATAAGATGGATTTTCAAAAATTATAAAAGATAATTGTCATCTTTACTAGAAATAAGGGTAAAATTGATAAAAAAAATATTAATAATCTTGTAAAAAGATAGATAATTCTAAATGAAACAATTTTTAAAAAAATGACAAATACAAGTAAATAGTTAATTAGTTGCGTATATATTACTAATTAAATTTTAATAAACCAACATGGAATTGACATATGTTTTCATTAAATCAATAATACAAAATGTAAAACATAATAAAAAAAAAATTCAATTACAATTTTGTAGGTCTTTCAATTCCTTCCCTTCATTGGCCCCAAAATAGTAACATACACAATTATCATTTGGTTCGATCAATTTATTGCATTTGCATAAGTAATAATACTAATAGTATTGAATAGTGAATACATCTGTGGACAGCCGAGAGATGGCGACTGACATCGAACGGTCCGATTGACAGCCACTTACCTTTCTGGGACCCACTTATACTTATGGGCATTTAGGCCTTATTTGGAGCTTTTTAGGCCCATCGCTTCAATTTCTTAAGCAATGAGCTTCAAGACAAAATTTTTCCACAGACTAATCAATAATTATTCGCTCTCATGGACCCCACGGTTACACGTGGCTACTTCTTCGCCAATCAAAGTAATCGTCGGCTGTATTATAATTATTCATTTCATTTAGTATAGGCAAAATGATTTTACAAAAAAAATTCCAAACATAAATAATTTTGTCGTGCAAATTAGCTATTTAGAATTTTAAAAATAAAAATCAACTTTGATTACGAAATAGAGCCAAATAATTTGGTCTTTTTCAATTTTCATTTTCATAGTAATTAACAAAATACAACAACTAACTTATATTTGTATTTAATAACTTATATTTGCATCTAATATTTTATATTTGCCCTTGGTTTTACATTTTATTTTCTGACCGTATAAATTTTTGTTTAAAAAACTTTAGAATATAACTAGAAAAAAGTTAAAATAATCAAATATTTTTTAAAAACATTTAAGATTTTTGGGATGGCTTATATGAACACCAGTCGAGAGAAGAGCAAGTCTGAAGGTATAGGACCCGGCTATGGACTTGATGTAAAACGACAAATAGAAAGCAATATCACTTTTTACTTCAATAATTGGAAGGGAAGTATCCGCCATGTCATCAACTAGAAAATGCCACGTGGATCCGAAATTCTTGAGGGAAATTGTCCACGTTTTCCTTGGTTTTCAGTGCCCTAACAGCAGAGCCATGTCATTTTTCCAATTCCAAGTGGCATAGAATTATTTGAAATTCCATGTCGCTGGACGTGGAGAGAATATGACATGTCAGTGAATGGTGGGACCACGTCTTGACGCATTTGTCAGGTCGGAGAGCGGTCGATGTTCCTCCTGCTGCAACGCGTCTGATACTGATTGGTTCATGGCAGATGATGTTATTCAGTTATTGGTAGATTCTCTCTTGGGAAAATCTTAACTAAACCTGATTCATCCTCCGAGGATATTTTTATCATATATTTAAAAAATAAAGATAAATTGGGAACATTTTTTAAAAAGTAATTAATTTTATTTATTTAGTTTATAAGTGCGGATTGAATCCAGTTTAAATAAATTTTTTCGCCCTCTTTTTTTATTTAATAGGACTTACTTGTAGATTTCATATAAGCATATAAATATTGCTAAATTAATTTACAGTGAAAAAAAAAATGCTAAAATTCATAATTGTTGTGAAGTTTTTAGAAATGAAACATAGTATATATGAACAAAGTACATGTATTTGCTAAATTTGTAATAGTAACTAATATATTTATTGCTAATAAGATGTTATTTGATCCACATCCTAGTTATTATCATTAGATACATAATGCAAATACAATTTTTTATAGCCTAATGTAGTAATTATTTTTAACAAAACTCTAAATATTCAAAATATTAATATAAATTTGATTGGAAAAAAAAAATCCTATCCAGTCCAGCTTCAAAAATAGATTTATTTTCATAGCCACATCATTCCCATGAGTCTCGACTAGTAAAATTTGCTAATAACTAATTATAAATTTAACCAAAGTTTGTGGCTTTTTTAAATTACATTCAAATAACATTATGTGCTATAAATGAATAATATTGATTTAAATTAATAAGAAACACGATTAAGGAGGAGAGCAACTAGTCTAGTCCTTTTCAGTTCCAATTATGCATTGGATTTAGACTGCCTGATGTCAAAGTCATTATTCGTTGGATTATTTTCTGCAATTTTTTTTTTTAACATGTAAATTTTGGCAAAAACTGATATATACCTGAAATTATGAGTTCCAATTCAATTTTTTTTTTAATATAATATATGAGGATTTCATTAAAAATTTCAAATCAATATAAATAATGTAGGAGAATATCATCATCTCTTGAAGATCAGACATGGAACAAAATTATTATAACTACAATAATCGTTGTTCGCTGATCCAATAAGAAATTCTAATGAAATTTTGAAAGTGAACTTGAAAAAATTAATAGATCTTCAAAGTGGTTGACTAGACAAACTTTCTGAATCTTCCGTACATAACCTAATATCCATGAACTAATTGCTTATGATGAACATAAAGAATTTGAACCACTAAATCCAATGGAGGAACATGCTGCATTATCAAGCTCTAAAAGATAAAGATCATCGTGAATTACATACTTGTCCAAAATAAAACAAAATAAATACTCCACATAAAATGAAGAGATCATAAATTTCACGCAAGATGGATATAAACCACAAAAAATAGCAGAAATATAAATAATATAGATCCATGCTAAATAGACATAGATCTGCAATAAAATAAAAAATAAGAAAAAAATTATTATTATAAATTTTATAATCTTGATTGAAATGTTTTGTTTATTTTTATTTATTTTGTACTTGCTTACATGTTTTCACATGTCCCGAGTAATATTCAGATAAAAATTTCTAAATAATGATGATTTTGTAAATAAATTTTATCTGAGAATGTAGTGGTGATTTAGTCTTCTGCTCAATCAAGGACAAATTTAATATTGAAGATCTAATTAATAAAATAAACAAAAATTGACATATACTTGCCTACTTGAATAAAATTTAAAAAAGAGAAGAAAAATGTGTCTAATATACATAATTGCGTGGGTGATTAAAAATCCATTTCTTGAGAAGAACTTTTTTGAATTTTCGAATACCATTAATGTTGAAACATAAGTTTTGCATTTCTTATCCTTCCATTTTCTAAGACATCCATTAGGAAAGAGTATAGATTTCTTCCATCCGTATCATCTAACCGAAAGATTTATGGTAGGGATTCAGAAATATTTATTGGACAATAACTAATATTGGAAATCTATGTTTCTAGTAGAAATTGGAAAGTTTTCCAACAAACATGGGAAAAACACATATCAGGTAAAATCACTTCACTTTCATAAATTTAATGAAAAAGAATACTGAAGCATCGTCTATTAGTGCGATTAGATGTTTATATTTGATTAAATGACCACCATCCTGTACTTGATATCGCTGCTTAACACAAAATGACTTGTCGTTTTGGCTTCTCATTTCTATTTTCTCAAATCATCATTTGATAATTAATTAATAACATAAAGAAAGCTCTGATAACATTTCAACTAAAATTTATTATTTAGAATTCAATCTAAAAAAAATTGAATTCTCTATCAAACTATAGTAAGATCATTCTTATTTTTGTCTTTCTGATCAAATTAGAAAAATGTATATAGTATTATATAAAAAAATTAAGTCTGATAACATCTTATTGTAAAAAATAAAAATAAAAATCAAATTGGGACTACAAGGTTGATAATGAAGTACTACCCAATACCCGAAGTATAGAAAAGTCCTAGTCATGTATCAAAAACATAAATTTAGCATCAATAGACATGATTTTCAATCTACCCTATCAAAAATAGGATTTTCTATGTCAGTGCATAGCATATATGCGATCTTAAAACAACTAGTCTAAACTTTTAGGTGAGTGGTTGAATGAACTCAGTACAGTTAATTTGGTGCAATTGTAAGTAATTAAGATAAAATTTTTTTCAAATAATACACTTAGAGGTAAATAGTTAGTGGAAACTAATTGCTACGAGTTCGAAGTAAAAGGAAAAGAAAAAAAAAAAAAAATTACGTTGACAT